AAGATAAGCTAGACAGTATAATTCCAGCCAAAGTAGAGGAACCAGTAGTAGTGACTGACCAAGTGGAAGATAAGCTAGACAGTATAATTCCAGCCAAAGTAGAAGAACCAGTAGTAGTGACTGACCAAGTGGAAGATAAGCTAGACAGTATAATTCCAGTCAAAGTAGAAGAACCAGTAGTAGTGACTGACCAAGTGGAAGATAAGCTTGACAGTACCATTCCAGCCAAAGTAGAAGAACCAGTAGTGACTGACCAAGTAGAAGGGGAACTGGACAGTACCATTCCAGCCAAAGTAGAACAACCGGTAGTGACTGACCAAGTAGAAGGGGAACTGGACAATATAATTCCAGTCAAAGTAGAAGAACCAGTAGTGGCTGACCAAGTAGAAGATAAGCTGGACAGTATAATTTCAGTCAAAGTAGAAGAACCAGTAGTGACTGACCAAGTAGAAGATAAGCTGGACAGTACCATTCCAGCCAAAGTAGAAGAACCAGTAGTGACTGACCAAGTAGAAGGGGAACTGAACAGGACTTTTCTAGCCAAAGTAGAACAACCAGTAGTGACTGACCAGGCAGGAGGGAGCTGGACAATATTGAATTAGCTATGGTAGGACAGTCATTAGTTATTGACCATGTTGTAGAGAGCAGTACAAGCTCTGGCAAAGTATCTCAGTGTGTTGCAGTTGAGTTAGATGTAAATAAAGCAGAAAATACTGAATTTGGGATGACAGATAAGTTTGTTTCCGTTAATCCTAATGGATTCGTGGGGAACTTGTCTGTATTCGACAGAAAAAAACAAGTAGTTGTGAATAATTTTGGCTTGACCAGTGTTGGTCAACACTTTGAAACTGATATACACGAAGATCCATTCAAGCTCGACAATACTGGACTGGAAAAAACTGTAAGTGAATCTCATTCTTGTGATGAAGTTCGACATCAGCTACCAAATTCAAATTTCTTTGCAGCTAAACATAACATTGCTGCTTTGAACCTTAGTTGCAAAAAAAGTAATACTGAGCCAGAAATAAACAATAACCTTGAGACTGAGTATTGTAGTAGTTCTGATCAAAGTATAAGTACTCTGGCTAAGAAAAATGACCAAGATATAAGTGACCAAGCTTTCTATGGCAACACAGTTGAAGATATTTCCGAGTTATCTAACAATGTGAGTAAGAAACAATGTACTGATTCCGTAGTTGGTAGGAAGACAGAGAAATCTTTAATATTTTTTCCAAACGAAGAAGTTAACAAAATCTTGCACAGTTCCTGTCAAAAACCCTGTGAACAAGTACAAGATCAACTTGTTACAGAAACTCGTGATGTTCGAGACTGTCGAGTTAAATATTCGGTCGAGAACAGCTCTAGCCTTGAGGTTGGAATAGCCCATGTTTCTGAACTAACAAACTCCAGCCAGTCAAATTTTGGAAATGACATGCTACCTGCTGGCTCAGGAACAGCACAAGAGGTAAGAAAGACTTCTCACTGGTTAATGTGTATTTGAGGATAAACACTTTAAATCAAGACTGTGTTTCTTAAAATGTTAGTTAGGTACATGCACTTATCTTGATTACTTCATACTCATTTTTAAAATGTTTGAAAGTGTTATTTTATATCCATTTTTCTTTTTATATGTATATAACCATTATGTTTTGAAAAGTTATTTTTTCTGCTTGTATCAAGGATTTTTTTGTCAGACTGATGACAATTAATGATGGACACAGAAGTTGTCACTCAGGAGAAAAGTGTGTGTTCTCTTGAGAAATGTTTTAAAGTTTTGAATAATTAAGTTTATTTGTTAATTTCTTTCTTTTTTTCACCAAAACCGTGAATTTCGGTGAGGAAAAGATGACATATTCTTTCTTTTAATTTACTACTCCCGCTTCATATCCTGTGGCTTGTGTATATATATAAATTTTTAGTATTTATCTTTATAGTTTTGGTTTATAATTAATTTTACTATAGATATCTAATTTATTTTCACACCTATAAAATATCGCCAAACCTGATAAAAATGCCTCACTTGTGGCTAACTACATATCTGTTCGTGACATGCATATTTTCATACATTGTACCACACTGTTTTGAGAACTTAAATATTATATTCCCACGTTAGTATATAATTGGACAGATAAATATGAAACCCAACGTATCATTTGATTCATCACTCGTCACTGACTTATGCCGGGTTTGGTTACTAGGGTTAATCGATTAGGCTTCATGTAATCGTGAAGTATATATGTATTATAAACTTCTTTTGCTGAATGTGTAGTCATAATATAATTAAAGAAACTTGATACAATAAAACCGATTTCAATTTTTCGGTTTTAAACGTAAGTGCAGAAATGAATTGCGACCAACTTGATTTATTAGCCTTTGAAACTGTTTTCTATTATAGGCCTAATACTACAACGTGCATACGATATAAAACTTATTATTAAAAGTGACGTATATATATGTGTGTGTGTTTCAGTATTTCTCGAGTTGGAATAGATTTAAAATTTTAATACAGGCTAGTGAAATTTAAAACATGGGTATTATTTTTATGGCGTACAACGTACTGCATTTCAAAATATTGTTACTCTGACTTGGTGAATTGTGGGAAGTTTTATAAAATTATATAATAAATATTAGTTTTATAAATAATTTCGTATATGATGAATCAATATTATTTGTATTTTTACACACAAATTAAAGAATGTCACAAATATAATATTTTTTTCTCTCATTTTATTTGTTATTATTATTGGTGTTTTAACACACAGTTTGCCTAACAAGGAAATAGTACCATTAAACAAAACTGATGGGGAAAAAAAGCGTGTCGTGCGATAGGCGTAATCGGAGAGCACTTTTTCGGGATTGGTTAATGGGAAGCGGGTACGTACGAACACTTACCTTATTCGGCAAGTTCTGTTTTTGAGTACGTCACAACCTCTGTTTATGTGTATCATTGAAAGTAAAGATAAAATTTAAAGTGTCATCAGAAAAAACAAATGTCAAGCCGACCTCGTTGTCAAAAGCATATTTATCCCTCAGTTTTATAAGTGTTTATTTAATTATATTTAGTATGAGAGGTAAAGCAGTATTTAATTTACATAAATTTCACAATAATTTGTTTGTGTAAGATGCAATTGTTATGGATAGGGTTATGTATAATTACCTTCTGAAGAGAATCACAAAAAAGAATTAAATCGGTCTTACGAAATATTTCTTGCATTCGTTTTTTTCAGTTTAGAATTCACATTTTACGTTAGCAATTCTCTGTGTGTGTTTTTTTTCCATCGAGACTGTAAAAGCTGAAATTAATAACTTATTTTCATGATTATTTTAACCTAACTTCAGCCTTAATTTTGCGCATTTTGTATATTTAATTATCTATGCTTTACGTAGTAATTGTTTGTTATTGTTAAATAATAATGGGAAAAAAAAGTCAATTGTTAGTTGGTCCCATTACAAATATTTTGGTTGCCCTGGAAACTTTGCGGCGGTAAACGGAATATCGTGTACGGGTTGTGGATGCGCGATGCTCAGTGCGTTAAGACTTGTCGTTAGTCGGGCTTAACCTATCGAAGTTAAAGATGACTTTTGATAGGACTAGAAAGTAGAATGTATTGAAAACTGGTGTAAGTTTTAACTGAAATATTTCACTTTTAGTATAAAATTTGCTTAGGTTGTTAAGAGCATAACTTGAAGCTTCCGTAGGTGTTAAAGATTCCTTCTTACCCACTGGGTCTAGGGCGGGTCTTATTTGCTATTGATTTGGGCGGCAAGATTTCTTACTGCTCGTATTAGGCCCGTTTTCAAGGTTTTATCCCAAACATTAATGTTACAGCTGTTCGATAAAAGGAATAAGAAAGTGATATTACGTACTCTGATGTTCTGTAGCACTTACTGGTATGTAGACCTGCAGTAAGCAGTTGAACACTCAACTGTACGGTACACTCCATCGCGTAAAATATTAAATTATGTAGTGTATATTCCAAATTAATTTAGCGTGTGTCTGCCTACACAGTTTGTAGGTGTACCCTTGAAGTAGGTATATTATTATCACTATCCATTGAAACTTTCTGTTCTGTAAAATAAATTTTGTTTTGTTAATGTTCAGTTTCTTGAATAAGGGCAGTTAATCTAGATATCTGTAAAGTGTAAGTCTGTTTTATTGTTTGCTTTTAAATTAAAATCATCTTTAAAAAGTAGTTTTTGTAATGTTTGCATTATAATTTCTTTGTGTATCCTGAACATAATTCTAAAACTTAAAGTGGACTGAAAAAGCCTTTTAATAATGCATTGCATTAACTTTATTAGAGATTTCTTAATCATTGTTCCTCACATATCATGTTTTATATATATATATATATCCACATATAGTCTGAACCATAAGTACCACACTTATTACCACCTCCCCCCTTATGTTTATGCATAAACCTATTTTACTTTGAACTTTAGATCAGGAATTGTTATTTATATATAGCAATATTAATATACCTTTTAAAGCACTTTAAAAAAAATTTAATATGTGATCTACACATATATTAAACATTTTAACTTACCAAAAGCTACTTCTGTCTCAAATATAAATACAGACACCAAATTAAAGAAAAAGTAACCCAGTTCGTTTGTTTGCCTGTAAAAATATGCAATACATTCAGACACCTTTGTGATGGAGAGAGTGCAGTGTATACTGAAATGAGGATTTGTTTATAGGTTTATGGGAAAATAAATGTAGTGTATACTGGAATGAGGATTTGTTTATAGGTTTACAGGAAAATAAATGTAGTGTATACTGGAATGAGGGTTTGTTTATAGGTTTACAGGAAAATAAATGTAGTGTATACTGGAGTGAGGGTTTGTTTATAGGTTTACAGGAAAATAAGTGTAGTGTATACTGGAATGAGGATTTGTTTATAGGTTTACAGGAAAATTAGTGTAGTGTATACTGGAGTGAGGGTTTGTTTATAGGTTTACAGGAAAATTAGTGTAGTGTATACTGGAATGAGGATTTGTCTATAATTTACAGGAAAATAACTAGTGTATACTGAAATGAGGATTTGTTTATAATTTACAGGAAAATAACTGTAGTGTATACTGAAATGAGGATTTGTTTATATGTTTAGAGAAAAATAAGTGTAGTGTATACTGGAATGAGGATTTGTTTATAATTTACAGGAAAATAACTGTAGTGTATACTGAAATGAGGATTTGTTTATAATTTACAGGAAAATAACTGTAGTGTATACTGAAATGAGGATTTGTTTATATGTTTAGAGAAAAATAAGTGTAGTGTATACTGGAATGAGGATTTGTTTATAGGTTTACAGGAAAATAAATGTAGTGTATACTGGAATGAGGATTTGTTTTTAGGTTTACAGGAAAATAAGTGTAGTGTATACTGAAATGAGGATTTGTTTTTAGGTTTACAGGAAAATAGATATAAGAAAGGGTATTCTCCAACTTCATGTAATATATACTTGTTTTGTATTCCAGTGAAAATGTCATTTTTGTAGTTTGACTTGTTTGAAGCTTGATGCTCACCACTAGTATATGTATATTAGGGACATGCGGACCTGTGTAGATTGTCAAAACATGATCCTATATTTCACTCTGGTGATAGGCTTATATATATATAGATAGACAGATAGAAAGATATTAAATTTGTATATGATTGTACACTTTTACTAATTGTTATGCCATATTGGTTCGTGTTTTGCTGTTAAAAGCAGCGAGAAAGAAATATTTATAACAATCAATTTTCTGTAAGTATATTTTCAGTTATGTATAACTAATTTTTAACATTTTGTAAAATCGTTGATACATATAAAATAAGCCGTTACTTTTTTTATTATTATTAAGTCTGCTCAAAACAATCTTTCACACGAAATCCTGAAGAGATGCATGGAGCATCTTTAAGCTGTACCTTGGAGGGTTTATCATGATGAAAACACACCATGCATGGAGCATCTTTTAGCTGTACCTTGGAGGGTTTATCATGATTCATATTCTGTTGTAAGATCTAAAAACAATACTCACATATTATCCAGCTGACATTAAAAACAAGAACCGGGTGTTTTCATCATGATAAGTCCTCCGAGGTACAGCTAAAAGATGCTCCATGCATGGTGTGTTTTCATCATGATAAGCCCTCCGAGGTACAGCTAAAAGATGCTCCATGCCTGTTGTTTTCATCATGATAAGCCTTCCGAGGTACAGCTAAAAGATACTCCATACATGATGTTTTCATCATGATAAGCCCTTCGAGGTACAGCTAAAAGATACACCATGCATGTTGTTTTGATCATGATAAGTCCTCCGAGGTACAGCTAAAAGATGCTCCATTCATGGTGTTTTCATCACGATAAGCCCTCCGAGGTACAGCTAAAAGATACATCGTGCAAGGTGTTTTCGCATGTAATATAAATGTTAATTTCTAATTTGCTTATTCAAAGATACCAAGAATATGCCAAAATCTTTGAAGTATTTTATAGTTTCTGATTGGATTTAAGATGGTTCATAAAGTGTATCAGAAAATGAAAGGAAAACTCCAGATAAGTTATTATCATTTCTTAGTTATTTCCCTCCCCTCCTCCCTCTTGTTGTTTTTACAAGGTTTAATGAAATTTATAGTAACTTGATTGATTTTTTTCAAGGTAGTTGTTTTAAAACATTGCTATTTATTTAACTTTTAAAATGAAAAAAAAATTCAATGTCCTATGAGGATGCTCAACCACATGTCTGCAGATGTTGTACATGGAAGCTTACATTTCTGTACCTTTGACCTACTATAGTAACTGGTTATGTATTTTGTGATTGATAACACAGTTTCTGCAGTAAGATATATATATAGATATATATAAACTGGAAAGTAAGATTTAAAAAAAAAGTTGCAGTTAAACAAAGCTGTTTCTTTAAAAAACTTTTATACAGAGTGGTATGTTTCTCTGTAGAGCAGTGACTTTTGTAAGACTTGGTGAGTAAGATTGGAAAAACCAATCTTACTCACCAAGTCTTACAAAAGTCACTGCTCTACAGAGAAACATACCACTCTGTATAAAAGAAAAAAACTTTTATACAGAGTGGTATGTTTCTCTGTAGAGCAGTGACTTTTGTAAGACTTGGTGAGTAAGATTGGAAAAAAACTTGTCTTCTCATTTTTTCAATGCTTTCCATGTGATTAAAATGTCGTTTTAAATTAATTTTATTACAGTTTTTCTTACTTCTTTGTAGCTCAGCTATTAAACATCCTTTTATTTTTGAATGTATTAAAAAGAAAAGTAAGTTATTAATAAAAACTGTCAATAGCATGATTCACTGTCATTTATAGGGTAAAAATATTCCAGATATTTGATTTTTGTCCTTTAAAAATAAAAAATAAACATAGGAAATGTAACAGTAATAGAAAGTTTTTAAACATTTCTTGTTAATACCTTCCCACAGTTTTATCTTATAGTCTTCAAATGCGTCAGATAAACTTTTATGTTAATTACACATTTAAAAAATTTTATTTCGCTGTATGGTAATGCAAAAAATTTAATGTTTGATATTTAGGATCATAGTTCTGTTATTTAGTGATATTGTTGCCTGTATTTTGCTGATGTTTTTATATTGTCGTCAATTATTTTACGCATTTGTCTTACTACATCTTATTCCAATGAAAGTAGGCATGACTAGGAGGCATTAACTTTGTTGCTAAGCAACATTTACTCAAAAACAAAATACTGTACGCTTGGCCCAAAGTTCAGTTCTAGTCATCCAAAAATTAACACTAAAGCGTTCATTATCTTTTAATAGTGATTTCACCTACAAATTTTTAACTGGATTATCGATTGTTTATTTTTTGTCTGTTTGTCATGACAGTATACAGTATATTACTTGTTTAAAAGTAAAATATGGAGAATTCTTTGAAAAATGTTTTATTGTTTTAATGCAGGTGATTGTTTCTGATGGAAAGAATGGCTTCTGGTCTTCTACCCTTCAGGCTGATAGCGTAGTAACGGAACATTCCAAAACATTTCCAAATCAAGAAAGCATCGAGAAGTTTAGTCCCAGTGAAAGTGGCCGTTCTTCCGGGGACATCCAATTCTCAGAAGAAGAATTCCAATCGGCAGCTGAATGTTAGTTTATCATTAAGTTTGTTTTTTTTGTCATTTTTTGTTTACTAAATTCTACCCGTAGTCTGGTTTGAAGAACTTGTTGAGGCATTTATAGATTTCTTTCATTGATAAAAGGGTGAAGTGAATATGTTAAAAATATCAGTTTAACTTAAAAGCTATTTTTTTAGAATCTTAAAGTACAAGAATATCGTCTTTCCTATTAATATTCTAAGCTATTCAGGCGTATTTTTATACAAATATCAGTGGCTGACGTAAAATATGGTTAAGTGTGTTCCATAGAAGCATACAACCCATAAAGTAATCGAGTATATCTTTCAGAAATACAGACATGCATGTTAAGAAAAAAAATCCCTGCTTGGTAGGATTGTTTTAAAATAGGTAATAAAACAAAAAGGTCCTTAGAAAACTTGGGTAATACTCCATTTTCTATAATTCATTTCCAAAAGTGGCTTTTCCAATGAAAGGTTATTAACAAAAGAACAAACAATAATCCATGCATTTTGGTATTAATTTATATTTGTTTGGCTTTGTTTCAGTTTTTAAGGACCCTGCAGCATTTGAGTTCCTACAGAAGGCAGGAAACCGCCAGGTTAGTGCTAAACGTTTTTTTGCACGAAAACGATTGTTCTTAAAACACGATGCAGTTATATAAAAACAGCCGATATCATTTCTTGTAATATAACCAACTATCTTCGGTACAGTTATGGTACAAAACTTTTCAAGATAAGCCTCCATATTAGAGATATAAACCCAACTTGTACAAGAGCAAATGAAGGTTTAAACCAGAATATCGCACTACTGCCAGACTTGCTAAATGGAGTGTAAGGTTTCTCACGATGTTAGAAAACATCATGAAACATGCAAGAATTCTTGGCCAAATTATTAAAACAACTGTATATTTTTTTTTTTGTCAGACATTAATGTCTTTGAAATTGAATAACAGTATCATAACTGATGTTTTGTGCATACTCAGTGTTGTCATAGTCAAAGCATTAAAATTAAAAACGGTCTGGCCGAGGTTTGTGGTTTACTAGTATTTTACATTTTTCAAATGCTGGCTTATCTGTAATCTTAAAGCTTATTTTTCCTTGTATGTATATATAGAAATATTGGACAGATGGTAATGAAACTTTCTTTATGACAACTGTTTTTCTTGATGGGTTGGACATGTTTTGTTATCATGTACTAACTGTGAAGTCTAGGTTCGTGTATTTTTTTCCTGGAATATGACCAAAAAATCTGCACATTGAAACCTCTATTCGGTTGAACGAGTAGCCCAAAAAGTTGGTGGTAGACCGTCTTCCTTCTCATGTTATTAGTTTAAAACTAGGGACGGTTAAACAAAGATAATTCTTTGTGTGAAAATTCTAACACTACATATATTCAAGTTGTTTATCAGTGGTATATGCAACATAAAAGTTCCAAAAATGTATTTAGGGGTTCACTGTGACCCACTTTATATATTTTGTGCACTAATTATTGGTCGACCCATGACCCATTATTATTTTATTATCATAGGTAACTCGTATATTGTCTTTAAAGTCTTTGGCGTGTGTTTTTTTTTATGTGTAATCTGCCACATGTTAAATGTGTTATTTATTACGTCTTGTTGAACATGTCATGAGTAATGCTACTTTTACGAATATGAAGTCAAACAACATTTGAAGCTAACAACTAAAGGTTATATGTTCTGTAAACGAGGTATACTTCTGTTCTTTCTTTAGCAATATTTATTAAAATATTTAATATATCAATTTTTATTATCTGAGATTTTATACTTTTGTTATTTATAGAAATTGTTTTGCGCTATTAACTAACCTCGTGAAATATTAACAACTAGGTACCCAACTCGTCAAACAATGCATTTCAGTCTTTATATGTACAAGTGAAAGAAAATTATCTATAGTTAGTTAGACTTGTTAATGGTTTGCTTTTAATAATAACTTTCTTTGTTCGGAAGTTTATTTGAATTCAACAATTGCAATGCTTATGAAATCCTATAACAAAAAAAATAATTAACTTTTTTCAGGCTTTTCAAGAGTCGGCTCTTTCCAGACAATCTTTATATGTGAAATTTGACCCTTTAGTAACAGGTGACACCCGTCGTAAGTTGTTTTTACATTACTTGGAAATTTTGGGTGAATCTTAACCAATGAACAAAGTTGTTTACGTAATATACACAGTGTCTTATAAATAAATTAAAAGTTTACTGATTCTCACATAATAAAACAGTGATTCTAAACCAGTGGGCCATGAGACATGCAGTTATGGGCCCATTACATTCTTAATCTTAAAGATAAAATCACTTTGCATTCACAGCAGTTAACACTGATTCCATATAGTCACAGACAAATTTCTGGTAAAAATACTTAAATAAAAAAACCTAATTTTTTTTTGTCTACAAAAGGCTTGTAATGTTTACTGAACCATTGCCACTTTTCAGTTAGATATACAAAACATATTAAAATCTATAGTATGAAAACTGACACTAATTTTGTGGTCACTAGGTTGATGCAATCCTGTAGCAAGAGTGTTAATATTCATGGGCTTCAGATCCCTCACTTTTTTTTTTAGCCTATATTCCTTCCTTGCTTATGTTCGTGTCTCAATTGAAAATTATGGAAATTTATCCAGATATTGAGTTGGAGACTTAGTATATGTCTTTTTGAAACAACCATATACTTACTTCTTTTTAAAAGGAGTACAGATGTAGCCTTTATAAATAAGTACTGGCTATGTTAATTTCCACAATATTTAAATTATATTATTGCTAAAAGTACGTATAAGTTGTGGCTTCCAGATCTGCAGGTACAGATGTTTTGGTATATAATGAAGTACTTTGTAAGTATGTCACTCTGTAGTCCTCGCTTCATTAAAAACATTTGTCAGGAAATTTACTTCTTTAATGGTATTGGCCTAAGTGGACTTTAGACAACAAGAAGAGAACTGTGAGGTAATTAAGACACAACTCTGATATACACGGTGTAAAGAATTTATGTACATACCTTTAAGTTGTTCTGAATATATTATCTTAAAACAAGAGGAGTGCATGCTGTTCATTTAGCCCAACACACTCGTATACTTAACTTACTATTTATTCAGTTGACAAGCCAAACTATTGTTCTCTATTTTATCTTAAACATTATCAGTGTATAACTCATTTATTCCTTTTCTTTTATCACAACAGTGTCAGTGTATATAATTCGCTGTCGTTTCGTTGCCATAGTTGCATCCTGAACTTCTGATACTCGTATGCATTTTTCTATTTAGGCCTACTTCTAATAATCGTCTGCTTTTTACCAAAGTCCACACAGGCAGGTTCAATTGCTTTAGAACATCCTTTGATGAGAGAAGTTATTCTCCTAAAATGTCAGAAACTGTTAATCTCACTTTAACATATCAGCCGTTAGGCTATTCACTCCTACGACGGTTAGCTTTATGTTTTCTAACCTTTTTGTCTCTTTCGCTCGGCTTTACTCTGATGTCTTCTCTGGTCGCTGCTATTTATATCTCTCACTGAGACATTCTAGAAATCTCCATAGCCTCGACATCAATAACTTACAAACACAACTTCCAATAATTGTCTGCTTTTAACTCTCTTGTCATGAAAAAAAATTAGACAGTCATGAAATATTAATTCACAAAATAAATTAATTAATACTGCCTACACTAAACAGTTTTTTATATATGAGAACATTAAATATACCAAAACAATGTACTTTAGGCTTAAAAATAGTTTTGTTTATCAGTTAATTTTTTCTCATGCAAATGTAAAAATGGCTACTATTATGCCACCAGCTGAAAAGGGTTAATTTTAGTACTTTGAACTGTAAAAGCCTTTAAAGTAGAAAATTCTTAATATATATATATATATATATATATA